GGAGTTTCACTCATGTTACCCAGGCTGGAGTGCAATGGCGCGATCTCGGCTCACCGCAACCTCCGCCTCCTGGGTTCAGGCAATTCTCCTGCCTCAGCCTCCTGAGTAGCTGGGATTACAGGCACGCACCACCATGCCCAGCTAATTTTTTGTATTTTTAGTACAGACGGGGTTTCACCATGTTGGCCAGGATGGTCTCAATCTCTTGACCTCGTGATCCACCCGCCTCGGCCTCCCAAAGTGCTGGGATTACAGGCTTGAGCCACCGCGCCCGGCCCGTATTGTGGAATTTTATTATTTATTTATTTTTTGAGACAGAGTCTCGCTCTGTCACCCCGGCTGGAGTGCAGTGGTGCAATCTTGGCTCATTGCAACCTCTGCCTCCTAGGTTCAAGCAATTTCTCATGCCTCAGCCCCGCCAAGTGGCTGGGACTACAGGCACGTGCCACCACGCTCCGTTTTTTTTTTTTTTTTTTAAAGTAGAGATGGGGTTTTACCATGTTGGTCAGGCTGGTCTCGAACTCTACCTCAAGTGATCCACATGCCTTGGCTTTCCAAAGTGCTGGGATTACAGGTGTGAGCCACCTCACCCAGCCATATTGTGTATTTTTTAAAAAAAAATTTTTTGAAAAAGAGATATAACTTTAAATATTTAGTGATGAAAGGACAGGATGTCTGGGGATCGTTTTTTTTTTTTTTTTTTTGAGACAGTTTCGCTCTCGTTACCCAGGCTGGAGTGCAATGGCGCGATCTCGGCTCACCGCAGCCTCCGCCTCCTGGGTTCAGGCAATTCTCCTGTCTCAGCCTCCTGAGCAGCTGGGACTACAGGCACGCGCCACCATGCCCAGCTGATTTTTTGTATTTTTAGTAGAGACAGGGTTTCACCATGTTGACCAGGATGGTCTCAATCTCTTAACCTCGTGATCCACCTGCCTCGGCCTCCCAAAGTGCTGGGATTACAGGCGTGAGCCACCGCGCCCGGCAGGGATCGTTTTTAAATACTGCAGTGGTATATCCTGTTAGGCAATAAAAAGCAATGTAGTGGCTGAGGGCAGATGGCTCCTGCCTGTTATCCCAGCTCTTTGTAAGGCCCAGGCAGGAGGATTGCTTGAAGCCAGGAGTTTGATATCAGCCTGGGTAACACTGTGAGACCCCATCTCTACAAAAAAATTTAAAAATTAGCTGAGTGTGGTGGCAAGCACCAGTGGTCCCAGCTAGTTGGGAGGCTGAGATGGAGGATGGCTCGAGCCCAGGAGTTTGGGGCTGGATTTGGGGCTAGCAATGAGCTATGATCATGCCACTTCCCTGCATCCTGGGCAACAGAGTGGGAGTTTGTCTCAAAGAAAAAAAAAATTCCATCAACCCATCAATCAATAGCAATGTAGTAAATGTAGTACTTCTACATGCTACATCGATAAACCTCAAAAACATTATGCTCAGAGAAAGAAGCCAGACACCAAAGAATACATACTGTGTGATTCTGTTTATACAAAATATCCTGAAAAGGCAAATCTACAGACACAAAAGCAGATTAGTTATAAACTAGGGCTGAGATAGGAATGGGTCTGGACCCAAGATTTCTTCCGGGGGTGATGGAAATGTTCTAAAATTAGATTGTGGTGATGGCTGCACAAGTAGGCAAAGATACTAAAATCAGTAAGTTGTACACTTAAAACAAGTGTATTTTATGCCACATGAATTATATATTCATAAAGGTGTTAATAAAGAAAACAGTTGGGCCGGGTTTGGTGCCTCACGCCTGGAATCCCATCTCTTTGACTGAGGTGGGAGAATCACCTGAACCCAGAAGTTCCAGGCTGGCCTGGGCAACCTGGTTAAACCCTGTTGCTACAAAAAATACAAAATCATTACTCGAGCGTGGTGGAGTGCGCTTGTAGTCCCAGCTATCTGGGAGGCTGAGGTGGGAGGATCCCTTAAGCCCTGGAGGCTGAGGCTGCAGTAGGTGCGATTGTGCCAGTACACTCCAGCCTGGGCGACAAAGTGAGACCCTGTCTCAAAAACAAACAAAAACAAAAACAAAAAAACATTCTAGTGATTCTAGTGGAGAAAGTGGGTGGGGCAGAGACGAGGCCAGACTGGCCAGAAGTTGATATTTGGTTAAAGCAGGGTGGCAGGGTGATGGGTACCTAAAGTTTTCGTACTATTCTTTCTCTTTATACATTTGAACTTTTACTTAACAAATATTATTAATTTAACTAATTTGTATTTCAAAAAATATGTTCCAATCTCACAAAAAGAGTTCTCTCTAGAGTTCCAAGGATAAGCAGAGAGCCACAAACCAGCCAGCGGATCACCTCCTGAGAGGCCTCAGTCCCCAAGGGCTTCTCCCACATGACTGACACTTCTGGATTTGCTCTCTCTGTCCCCAGGTCACACCTGTCCTGAGGCCTTTGTGAACAGTGTGGATTATAGGTTTGAGGTCTTGGGGTCCTGGGTCTCTAGTGGAGGAGATGCTGGAGGCTGCATTTCCTAAGACCCAATCCACAGGGCTCTGCAGCCTCCACTCACCCATGACGCCTGTGGCGAACACGGGAGCCAAGACCTGGACTCACAGGGCTTGGCAAAGGGCAGAGCAGTAATCAGGCACCCATGAGGGAAAGGTAGTTACCCGATGAAACCCCAAGCACTACTCACCAGTCACACCCACGGCAGACACTGGGCCCACGCGCCGCCCCTCGTGGAGGCCATACAGGTGCATCTTGTACTTGCGCCCGGGCTCCAGGCCCCCCACGGTGACCTCGCTCTCCTCGCCTCCGACACGCACCGCCTGGGGCCGCCCGTCCCTGTCCTTGTACTGCACGGTGAAGGAGTCGAAGTGGCCCTGGGGGACGGTCCAGGAGAGGCTCAGCGAGTCAGGGGAGGCTCCTGTCACTGTCAGCTCCCCCAGGAGCGGCTCCTCTGGGGGCTCTGGGGCCTCCGT